CTTACAGTGGGGTAAGTCGGCTCCGATACGTCGAATTCAGCTACGCTATTCGTGTAGCTGAATTTGCGTATCTTAAATCGACCCCCCCCCGTAGTGAAGACCTGCCCTTAGTCTACACAGCCTCCCCACTCTGAGATGCTTAGTTAAATCAGACCTCCTCCTTCTCTGCAGTTGTCACTGTATCACTTATTAGCAGATCACTATTCATTTTCATAAAATTCAGGTGGTTTCTGGGAGGTTGACCCTCTATTGAATGTTGGTATGTCACAGGGGTGGCCACCTCACACACATCCCCTCATCTGGACAGAAGTCACCCTGCCTCCGTTTTCCCTCTTGATTCCTCAATAACCCCCAAAGAGGCTTTCACAAGTCCAATAACAGTGTTTCTTGGAGTCTGGTTTTATTAACACAAAATTCCAAAATAAGCACAAAAAGGTCTTCCATCCCAGGCTTACCCTGGGCACAGCCCCGCCTCCTGGAGGAACTCTCTTCCTCTGTTCTCTAAGTCTCTAGAGAAGACCCCAGGCCTGGCCTGCCTTCTTTGCCTTCTCCCCAAAAGGAAACCCAAACGTCCAGCTGGGCCTTTTTTCCCAGCCCCACTTCCTTCCTCAGGGACCGCTACAGGAGCCTGACTGACTGTCAGTCCCTCTCTTGCATTCTGCATGTTCACTCTGCAGTTCCCCTTTGGCTATCCACTGACCCCTGTTTTCTAACCTGACGGAGGCCTGGTTCAAACTGTCATGTGACTAAATTCCTTCACTTGGGGAGGCAAATCGGCTGCAGGAGAGGTGCGCTAAGACTGCTATCTCCCTTTAAAAAGGGCTGGTCACCATATAACACGGTACTGTATTTATGCACTTCAGATTTTTTTAAATGTGGCTGAATGGAATTTGTTCTCCATGGCTTTGGGCAGACAATGAATTTCTGTCTTGATCTCCAAAAAAGCTTCTGGAGAGACTCCATTCCACAACTGGGGTTGGATACACACTTTTTCTATTTGCCACTTTACTCGTTACCAATTGCTTGGCTATTCCTGAAGTTAGTGATGCTAATAAATACTTAGGACCAAGTTCTCAGCTTGGGTAGATCTGTGTAACCCTATTGACTTCATTGAAATCATGCTGATTTACACCATTGAGGATCTGGCCCATGTCTTAGATTTGATTTTAGCATTTTTTAGAATATTTTTTTAAACATCATTTGGATTTATCATTGATTGCTGGCATGTGGCACTTAACATATATTCCATGTCAGTGATTAAATCAATGTTCTTTGGTACAATTAGTACCTTTACAAACATCTTCTCACTTCCATGGGTATAATTCCAAGAAGAAAACATCAAAATAGCAAAAACACACTTGATATCTGTAACAGATTCCCCCCCTCCCCCATTCTTCCCAAAGGCCATCTTAGAAAGAATATATGCAAATTGGATCCTTCTGAAAGCACAGCATTTCCTTCATGGCTGAAGCAGTGCTAAAATCCATCTGAAGTTGGGTTGCCAATTTTGTTTGGACGTATTCCTGGAGGTTTCATCGCATGACATAATCTTTCATTCCTGGAGACTCCAGGACAATCCTGGAAGATTGGCAACCCTAATCTGATGCCCAACAGATGTACCCATCAGCAAGTCATGTCTGAGCTTTGCCAAGAATCATACATTTCATCATACTTTTCTATAAGGAGAAAACCAGACAACTGCCCAGTGGCTAACCTCACAGAGCACAGAACCCCCTCAGTTCACGGTACTGCAGAACACCCATTAAATACTTCTCATACTGCATGCTACTAGTAGGGACCTATTCTGATGCAACATGAACTTATTTTTTCCCCAGAAGTATGTTTTTTTTCTGTCCTGTAAAGCCACTTTCCTTTTTAAACTTTTTTAAATGGTGAGACAGAGCTGAATTTAAATTAATTTGTTGGCTGATGAGCTTCTGAAGAGATTCAAGGCTGAAACCCTGTATTTCTTTCTTGATTGATTTAACATTCAAACACCGCCTGCTTCTTCAACCGCGCACATCAAACTCTGGCACTGTTGCAATTCAACTGCTTTCCCCAGGACCGCAGTAAGCCAAGACTGGACTTTGTGTTAGGTTAACACATGCCTCTGGTGAAACAAAAGATTGTGTCTCTGAATGACACTTTAGGGTTGCATAGCAATACTCTTGATATAATTTCCCTGTCGTGTTTGCTTACTTGCCCAGACGTTTTTTTCCTATGGTTATTACTATCAGTACTGCAACTTCAGCTCAGGTTATAAAACTCAAGCTGCCATCTATTTGTTTCATACATCATCAGTAAAAGCAGAGACCAGACAGCAGCTCATTTCAGCCGCTGGAATATACACTGCCAGGCAACCGCAAAGAAAATACATTTGTTTTCACGTTTTAACATGATAGGCTGATGCCGTAAGACTGAACAACAGAAAAGAAAAAAACAACAACCCCAAACTCTTGTTTAGACTGAGGAAAGATGATCTAGAGAAGCACAAGGAAGTACTCAGTGAGTCATTCTCTTTGCCCAAGCCACATATAACGATCACAAAACACTGAGGAATAAAGTATCAAAATCCTTTAGTTTAAATCATATTTTTTATATTCACCCATCAAATTTCCCCTGTGATCACCCAGAAGAAAGAACTGCCAGCTGCTATATATCATTGAAGGAGAAATAACACTTATTACTTTGAGAAAAAAAATCTCAGCATATGAGGACCACAATATCTGGCAGAAAAACAAGGTAAAATTGTAAGTAAGGGCTTGTACAATAACTGATTGGAGACACTCGTATACATACAATACTGTAAAGCTTGGTAATCCTCACTGAGATAATCCATTTGATAATTCTTTATAACACAAACACAAAAACAACTATTCTCAGGTCCCTTCTTACAGCTTAGCAAAGATTTTATGCAGCATGAAATTTACTAGGAGTAAATGTTTGTCAGGGTGCTGTAAAGAGGTCTTATATACCGGTAGCTTTTACAACATGTACTACAGAACACATAAAGGGTGAGATGAAGTAATATCAGAAATAATCAAAAAGACGTGTCAAAATAAATGAAGAAAATACACTTGGTGATGCACTATCCTTATTGGGCTTATTTGACTACTTGGCTACTAATTCTGCAAGGGGCTGATCACCTAGCAGGATCAGAGTCTACATACTGAGAGTTGCATTGGGATCTAATATATCATTAAGCATTTTTTCACTCCCGAATACCTGCAATGAATGGATATGCAAAGTTAAGATGTTAAGATGCAACTTTTATTTAAAATGAATGAAGGGTGAACCTCAGTGTTTTGGAGGTCTGGATAAATATCCAAAAGCTTGGATATTTATCTGAATCTCAGGTTTGGAAACCTGGTGAGAACTAGCTTTCATGCAAGACTGTCCAGCAGGTTCTGGTATAAGTATGGATATTTAGCATTTTGATATCTGCCCTCTTCTGACTCAAACAAATGTTCTGACCCTGCACGCAACTAGAGGCTGCAGAATTGGACCCAGAATCCACTGGAGTGGCGGACACTCAGTATGCTATTCTTGTGAGGTGCTGAGTACTCTCAACTTCTAATGAAGCCAATGGGAGCTAAGGATGCAGAGTGCTTTGCAGGGGGCACTCAGACCCTTGCAAATTTGGATCATGAGGCAACATGAAGGGCAGACGAACATTTTATGATAAATAAAGTAACCAAAATTTGTATAACCTCAAAAGGAGGTTGAATGTGGTCCATGTTTTAGGCATATGTCTTGTTGGTTTTAGTTTTACTGATCCAGCTCGTCCAGTCCTATATGAAATTGATTTCCTTTCTGAAACAATATAACTAATAAAACTGATTGCCACTGCCTCTAAGTTACAAGATACAGCAATGGCCTTTTATGAGCAGAAAGCTTGCTTGGTTGCAAATAATTCTGGCCTCTACTGATGTATGTACAGACATTTCCCCTTTCCCTTAAAGGAGATAAGGAACAGGAGTAGCTGTTGCTATGGAAACGCAGACCAATATGTGACCCAAAGGTGATAGCCATTGAAAGCAAAGTGTGAGCTAACAAAGCGTGCATTAGTATAATGTAATTATTTTAGACAATACACTCTGTCTGGGAACATAAGAACTGCCAGGCTGAACCAGGCCGGAGGTCCATCTAGTCCTGTGACAGTGGCCAGTACCAGATGCTTCAAGAGGAAGATATAAGAACTCCAGTGTAGGCAGATGTATTAGATCCCATCTTGGTCTCTAATAGTTAGAGATTGGCTTAAGGCCAAAAGCATGAGGTTTAATATTCCAAAATTGTTGTAAGCATTAACTATAATAAATCTAGATATTCTGGTTACCCGTATAAATGTCCAATCCCTTTTTGAATTGTACTAAGGTCTTGGCCTCAACAACTTCCTGTAATGATGAGCTCCACAATATAATAATGCAATGTGTCAAATAGTATTTAATTTTATAACTTTTGAATTTGACCCCTTTTCATTTTATTCTCTGATCCCTTGTTCTTGCTCTGAGATTGGGAGAACAGAAGCTCACAATCTATCTTCTCTTTGCCATTCATTATTTTACATACTTCTATTTCCTCATATTCATTTCCTGCATTTTACAGTTGTTTAAATCTAATAAAACACTTTGCCTCTAATTAAGGCTACTACCCGTCTGTCTGTTAAGCTTATTAATTCATTGCTGTTTAAACAGTGGACTGAATAAGCAGTAGCTTCTGGTTTTTAGGCTAAAACACATCTCTGATTTGGAAAGTACAGCAGACCTCTCAACTGATCTCAGTGAGGCATGAAAAAAAAACTTTCCCAGAGTTAATTTTCAGTTTACCAGACAATTTTCTGAACATAAGCCAGGCTCTCACAATTTAAAATCATTTAAATAAAAAGCATCTAACTGTGACAACAGATGCAATGCTCTGTCTGTTAATTTATGGGGCATCTCAAAATTGCAATCTTCCCAGCACATTAATACCTTCACTGTGCATTTAGAGTAAATTCTTACCTGTCCCCCTTTTGGCTGGTACCGGATGTTGTCTGTCGATCCAATTTTGGACCTGACATTCTTGAGGTCCGGCAGAGGCTGGTTAATAAGTCGTAGTTGCTTAGGTGTGCCTGGAGATTTTGGAGGAGTGCGTATGATGGCGACTTTCTTCTCAGTGGGCACCAATATAGCAGACTTGGGAGTGCCTGGAGTATGAGGGGTTCTGGAATAGCTTGGGGTCCCAGGAGTGCCTGGGGTACGGGAGGAGTAGCTGGGTGGGGTACCAGGAGTGATGGCAGTGGATCCAGGGGTAGTGGGCGTAGAAGTGCCACTCTTTCCTGTCCTGCTGCGAATTGGCTCCGATCCTATATTGAAGACACAACAGCGTTAAAACCACATGGATAAATCGGTCTTTTCTTCTTATTGTGTCTCCACAGACTACGACACCTATAATGATAAGTATCCTGAAGCAAAGCCCACCAACTCGATGGACAGACGCACACTGACTTCAGTGGGCTTTTGGATTAGGCATTAATGTAGTCTATATAGTGGAGATGGTTTTGATCGTAAACTTTTGAACAGCAGATTTCAAATACATGGCTGCTTTCGGTCATGTACGATAGCTAGTAGCTTTGTATCTACAGTAGAATCCAGAGAGTAGATCCTCAGCTTGTGTAAACAGTCATAGCCACATTGACTTCAAAAGAGCAATGATCATTTACTCCACCTATGGATCTGCCCCCAGGTAATTTGCTTGCTGTATGGATGCACGTCCTTGGCTTCCACTGAGTTTGCTGAGGAGTCCTCTTAGTGCACTCAAAGGGACTGATTTAACGGCCAATGAAGTCAATCGGAATCATTCTATTTATTTCACTGGGGATGGATGAGACCCAAGGTACCGGTGCTCCCGGGGCTAAGGAGAAAGCCTCTTTGTTGAACACGACACATGAAATGGATTAATCACTCTTTACTCTCACCTTCACTTTTCCCAGATTGGGCTCTTTCTTTCCCAACCAGCCGTCAATCAGGGTTCTCTCATTGCACTGACTGTGCAGGAGACAGAATGGGATTTTCCTGCCTCCCTGCAGCCTTTATTTTTTTTCCCCTCAGGCTTCCACCCCTTTTGGCAAATGCACTCTGGTATATATCTGCCCCAGCCAGAAGGATGGGCAAGTTGTTCATTTGCTGCTATGCCAGCCAGGGGTCACTGTGCACTGAGAGGGGCTGCACTTTACCCCTGATACTCAAACTGGGATTTTCAAAGGATTTTCAGTGGGATTTGGGTATCTAACTCCCTTTACATAACACAAGAACTAAGGGTCACCCAATGAAATTAAAAGGCAGCTGGTTTAAAACTAACATAAGGAAGTACTTCTTCATGCAACACACAGTCAACCTGTGGAACTCATTGCCAGAGGATGTTGTGGAGGCCAAACATATAACTGGGTTCAAAAAAGAATTAGTTCATGGAGGATAGGTCCATCAGTGGCAATTAATCAAGATGGTCAGGTATGCAACCCCATGCTCTGGGCATCCCTAAACCTCTGACTGCCAGATGCTGGGACTGGACAGCTGGGGCTCCATCACTCAAAATTGCCTCGTTCTGTCCATCCAGCAGCGGCCACTGTCAGATACAGGACACAGGGCTAGATAGACCATTGGCCTCACCCAGTATGTCCATTCTTATGTTCTTAGGCTTCTTTGAAAAAGGTTGTAAGAATGGTTTCTGAGAGACAGAAGAATTCCTGCGGGACAGGAGAGTACCAAGCCAGGTTCTGAGGCCTGAGCTGAATGCTAGACTGGCAAGGGGGGGATGTCTGGAGAGAGGGGTGGTTACATTTCCTTGGTCTTAGGGTAACTTGTTTAGATGTATGGTTCTATAGATTTGCTCCTGTGCAAACAGGTCCCCCCTTCAACTCCTGGAAATCCTGGCTGGTAAACCCTCTGGATGCATTAAACAGTATACACCTTCCATTAGGGTTCTTTCACTAAGTGTCTTTATTATTGCTTTCTCCCTTATGCTCCGGGTACAACACAAACATGGCAGTAGCTAGAAGAAGCCCCCTTTCCTGATTGCTGTCCCGCTTGCTGGCTCAGCCTTTTATACTGCTTGCTTTCTTCTCCCCGTTATCCAACTGGTGAGCTAATGACGGCATTAGGTTTTCTACAGATACAAGTGCTCCCTTCTAACCTTCCAAAACTCCTCTTACTTAACCACACCCAGTACGCTGGGTGCTAAGTGCTGCCCTATTTATAGCTGCTAACAGCACTCTCACATTCTGATAAAAAGACCTTGCTGGTTAACTGCTGTGTCTTTCTTCTGATGAGTCACCCCAATAACTTACATACAACTCTTTTTAGGTAAAGCTTCTTTCTGGCTTGGCATTAACTAAGCACCAGGAGACCATTAAACCAAACCAACAAATCTTGGTATTTATTAAATAAGCCTTCCATTTTCATGAGATCACAATTATTATTATTTTTAAATTATACTGCTCACACTGAGTTTCTTTTTTCTGTTTGTTTATAAATGGTCTATATTAAATGTGTCACACAACTGGGAAACCCATGTGAAGGGAATTTTTTTATACAAGAGAAGGGCCTCCACTGCAGCCCTAGGTCTGAGCAACCCAAAGATCGGTTCCACATCTGGACTCAAACCTTGTTGCTATATTGGGTCACAACAGCACCCCAAATCTGAACATGGCCAATTTCGGGTCCAGATTACTGGGCCCAGCAGTACAACTCAGGCCTACTTCTTAAAGGCAAAGAAAAGGTAAGGATGGATTTAGCAAGTGTGTGAAATATATAGCAAGGGCGGGTGAAGGCCCCAGGAGAGTTAGGTTTGCAGAGAAACATACGGGTAGTCCGTCGTACTGAAGAGGAGATGGAGCTATTGAGGGAGAAAGAATTCTCATCTCTGTCCCGGTCTCCTGATATACCTCTCCGAGTGGGGAGGATGGAGGAAGGTCTTGGTAGGGAGGAACGCTTTTCTGGACTCTTGGTTATTCCATCCTGATAGGAGCAAAAAGGAAAAAAATGGCTTTACAGTAAACATAATTATCCAGATTGTGATCTCTCACTAGTTTAATACAAGTGCGATTTCATGGTAGCCCCTGACTCAGACCAGTGCAACTGAGATCAAATGACGCCTCTGATGATTACCCAGGTCTGATGTGTCACTTAACTCCCTTGGGATTTACTGACTTTGGACATCTAGCTTTTAGATTGACTGCCTCTTAGGGGAAGAAATTTCAAAAGTGCTCAGCGTTGGCTGAACTCTGCTCTCACTGAAGTGAATGGCAAAACTCCCCCTGACTTCAATGAGAGCTGAGTTCGGTCAATACTGAATCCTTTTGAAAACCCCACTCTAGATTTTCAGTTTGCCTAAGACAATGCTGAACGCATTTTTACAAGGCTCCTTAAATGTCTGGTTGCCTATTTCAGGGGAAATTCCCCTCTGTTTATTTCCTAGCTTCACTGAATAGACCCTGAATATATACGCTGTTTCACTGATTTGACCGAAAATGTATCAAGGCCTGATTTCGCTCCCACTGAAGTCAATGTCAAAACCCGACGTGAGTTCAATGGGGCAAAAATGGACCCTTGGCGCTTGATCCAAATCCCAATGAAGCCAAATCTGGGAGTCTTTCTATCAGTTTCAGTGGGCTTTGGCTCTTAGTGAAAGAGGCGCTCTGGTTAGGAAGTCATGGAACAAGAAATCCTGAAAGATCATTTAGTCTAATGGGCTTTCTTATGCAAGTGGAAGCAAAGATCCAGGGCCCGATCCTGAAGTCCCATGGGATTCCACCTGCAGTTGGATTGCAGGATCGGGCCCCCAGGACGTTTCAGACTCTACATTATTAGGTAACATGAGTGCTGAAATGCTGCCTTTTGAAGCACTAAAAGAGCGTTATATTTTCCCCAAAAATGAGATTTTGGAGAATTTAAGCTGCTGATTAAATTTTCAAAGCAGGGATATTAGCTACTGGAGCCTTAGCCTGTTTTCTTCTTTATTGATCTTTTCCATGTTTAGTTCAGCGTGTGTCTGCTTCTTTACTTCACTTAGATCAGTGTACATCTGAGTATGTTCAAGTATTTGTGCACTTGTGAGATGGGTAGCCAAATGCAGCCTGGCATAAGCAGGTGTCTCCTGTGGTAATCCCAGGGCCAAATACCAAAATTATCCAAACTGGTGCAAGAAGCATCTTTGTGGGTTGGTGGGAAAATGGTTGCAAGTGGGGCAAAGTGGCTAAGCAGTGTAGTGTTCACCAACTTGGCCTTCAGTGGGTGTGTAAAACAAGTGAAATGTATGCACAGAGGGGCTGGAAGAGCAAGCCATCATTAGGAAAGTGTAAGACAAAGCAGGCTTCTCTTCCTGCAGCATCCTTAACACTTGTAGGGCTAAATTTTACCCCTGACGTAATTGGTCTCAGCTTTCATTGAAAGTGCATCTTCACTTAAGTGCTACAGCGGTGCAGCTGTATGTGACGACAAACCCAGGTAACTTCACTGAGACTTACTTAGATTCAGCAGGGAGAGAATAAGATCCATGAAATGCCCCTCTCTGAGCTACCTCTCTCTAACTCTGCTACCTTACCTTAGCATCTGATTTTGAGTATGGAAAGCAGTCTCTTGGGCCCGCCGAGGAGGGCCGTACAAAGTAACTGTCTGTATCGAGAAAAGTAGCCCTTTTAGTAGTTAGTGAGCAAGCTGAGCTGGGTCTTGGAGGAAGCAATGACTTCGCTCTAGACTTTGAGGCAGGAATCTTTGACAAAGAGGAAGTCTAGTCATGAGAAAACAAACAGAAGAAACATAACATGAAGCTGAGCAATGAGACGAAAGGAAAACACATGCAAAATGGATAAATGAAAAAATGCCAAGCTATGAATTACACTTCCTTTTTCCAATCAGCACATGTAAAATTCTGAGACACACATGCAAATAGGTATTGTGAAATGCAGCATTTGGCTCTGAGATCGAATTGACTCTACAGGTACATCCAGACAGCAGCTGAGAAATAATTCCCAGTTCGGGTACACATACACATGCTAGCTCTGTTCAAGCTAGTGCCTAAAAATAGCAGTGTGTGCACAGTGGCTCAGGCTAGATGCCTCAGTATGCATCCCAGAGGTCGAGTGGGATTGTCCTCAGGTGACTAGCCTGAGCTGCCGCCTGTGCCACCACATCCACACTGCTATTTTTAGACACTAGCCAAAGCAGAGCTAGTAGGTGTCTGTCTACCCGAGCTGGGAATCACGTCCCAGATGCTGTGTAGACATACCCTATGAAGGGCCTCAATACAGTCCTCCTTTTCTGCAGATGCAAGTTTGCCCCCTCTTTTAAGTGCAGACGCAAAGGCTAGTTCGTAAGCATTTACTACAGGTGGGAATTTGCAGGACCAAAGATAGAGCCTGCTTTTTTAAAATCAAGTCCTGGATATGAAGTATTTCCCTCTCTGGGAATGTTCCACAATGAAATGTTAGTAGGAGATTTAGAAAAAAAATTAACGATACTACTTAAAATGGGGAAATGACCTCTTCTACCATATTAACCCTTAAAATCCAAGGTAATATGCAATATTCTGTACTCATTACACTCCATTAGAAAGATGGGCAGATTGTGAGTCCCTCACTGAACATTGGCAAGCAGTGTCACACCTAGTTCCACTGAAGTCACTAGGACTACTTGGCTTAGTAAGGCCTCACCAATGTAAGGGGTTTGCAATCTGGCTCTATTTTTTTCCCCTTAAAAGATAGAAGGTATAATGAAAAAGAATAATTGGAAGCTATTATCGTGGCAATGAAGGCCTGATTCTGCAACACTTTACTCACACAGAGGTGAAATTACTCATGTGAGTAGTCCCAATGGGACTACATATGTGTAAGAACTACTCAGCACGAGCAAGAGCTGCAGAATTGGGCTCTTAACAATGCATAGTAGGACTGAAAAAAATCACCTTGACCAGTAGACACCATAAGAAATCAGGGTACTGTACATTATATCACTTATGAAACACTGGGCCTGAATCTCTTCTCCCTACTCTCGTTTTATACTGGTGTAGCTCCCCCGACTACAGTGGAGTTATTCCTAATTTACACCAGTTTAAAAGAGATCAGAATCAGGCACACTAACACTGCTTAAAACACTTTTTAAATTGTAAAATGAAATAAAGGAATTCCTGTACAGCTTGGGAATGCTCAAAATTCTAATGCCTTCTCATGGCAAAAGCTATAATTTCAGTCCTGCTGCATTATCAGACTGGGCCTCTGTAGAAAGCATCGTTAATTTGGCAGCCTCTATTGTAGGAGACGAGCTCAGTTCAATGACTGGAGATACTTTAATACTGTGAGTGTCTTTCTAAAAACACCGCTTTTATGTACACATATTATTCCTTGTTAAATATTTATTATTTTCCTATCTAAAGGACAGGGAGGCATATAACTGATCAATGGCATGTCTGCTTTAAATACAAAGTAAATAATTTTCATAAAACTGTTCCATCATAGTAAAGTGTTCACCTAGTTAGGCATGCCTCCATTTTTGGGTGCCCAACTTGAGATACTTTGGGCCAGACTTACAAAGGGTATTTAGGTGACTCAAGATGCAGAAAGCCTGTGGGAGTTGGCACCTAACTCACTGAGGCACTTTTGTAAAGCCACTAAACATCTACTCGTATCTTTAGGCATCTATCTGCCTTTGCAAATCTGGCCCTTGTGCCTGAATTTGAGAGGGCTGAGGACCAGCAGTTTGGGGCCTACAATCTAACCTGGTACTTTTATACCCTCCATCACTGTAGTATCTGAGAACCTCATAAAGACTAATAAATTTATCCTCACAACACCCTTTGTAGGGAAGATATTACAGCTGGGCAAGGAAGGCACAAAGAGGCAGATGCTACCCCTCTTACTCATACTGAGTAGTATCTCACTCCATGAGTAGCGGCATTGTATAAAAGCACAGCTAATTTGGATCCTAAACACAGCCAGGACAGGGTATTGCAAAATATCTTCCTGTCTCTAAAAGGCTACGGCAGTTAAGGAGAAAGGATGGTCTTGTGAACCACTCTGGGACTCAGGAGGTCTACTCCTCACTCTGCTACGAACTTCCTTTGGCACGGTGGCATGAGGTACTACTTAGCATGAAGAAAGGTGGCAAAATGTGACCCAAAGAGATTAACTGATTTGCAGAGGAAATATGCGATGGTGCCCAACCCAGAGCTTCATCTGCAATATCATCTTCCATCCTTGACTGTCCAAGATGGGAAGATATTTTGCAAAATCCTGTCCTATCTGTGTTTCATCGTACTTTTGCTTTCAAACAAATGCCCATTTAGGGCCATATACTACCTTCAGTCTCTTGCAGAACTCCTACTGGTGCAAGGGCAGGCTGCTTATGTGGGACCAAGCAGTACGTGGCCCTTACAATAAGAATGAGCGCTTGCAATGGTTAAGAGACCGCTCAAGATGAAACGCGGAAACGTCATTTTATATCATAAGCCAGCTAGGGAGGGGGCAGTCACAATGCATACTTCCTGATATGAATTAGCCAATGTTCTTAACACACAGCTGGGATGGGGACATGATCCTCCCCAGCAGGGTAGAACTGCTTAGCTTTTCCTGAGCGTTATTTAGAAGTACAACATGTACGTTGCAGTCAGGTATTAAGGCTCTGCAAATGGACGACGAGTGTACTCAGCTGCAATACTACCTGACACGACAGCTGGAAAGGAGTTGGGGAACTGTTATGAGAAGGCCACTTTGGGAGGGTTGCGCAACACAATACACAGCGAAGCAGGAGGGAATGCAACAGTAATAGGGGACAGGTGCTTGAAAGGTCAGGATGTGGACTGCCCCAGGGAATTAGGAGAAAAGGCAGAAGGTGGAGGGGTGTTTCTGGAAGGGAATGGACTGGGGACTGAGAAGAAAGACAATAGTGGAAGCAAGAAGCGGATAGATTTCAGCTCTTTGCCCTAAAACAACTGACAGGAAGAGTAAAGAAGATACAAAGACAGGAGACGGACCCAGAGGAAGAATGCATGCTGCTTGTTTGTGCCAGTAGTTTTCCAAGGGCACTGAAGGCTTTGGCAACAAGCAGATACTGACTTCTGCTAAGGTGACTATAGACATTTACCTCAGAGGAAAATGAACCTCGCTGTTGACCCAAACAGGAAGTCAGTATATGCACTGTCACCTATGTTTCTGGATGTTTTATTGAGAAATATCTACAGATCTCTCAGTTGTGGCTAGAGATGGGCCAAAATTGTAGCACTGGCTCAAATACTCATTTGGGGAGAGTTCAGATCTGGATTTGGATCTAAACTGGCACATCACTCATGATGGCCACAAATTACATAAGCTGTTGCCATCATCTTCAACATTATTGATTATAGTATCATCTAATATTATGGGATAAGCACTGACAGTGTGGTTAGCATGTTGCATGGTCCCTGCCCCCAAAGGAGCTTACAATCTATTTAGACAGACAAAACAAATCAGGCACAGAACACACTGGGAGCTCCAGGAGTATGGTTCAATCTTGGAGCACTTTGTTGTGGTCGTTGTTCAATAAGGGGTAAGTCACCAGAGTGCTACAGTTGTGAGCTAGCATGTGTGGACTTCTTGGAAAAAGAGTTACACAGTGGGGATTTGAAAGAAAATAAGTCGGGCACCTGGAGCGCTGGGGTGGGAAGGGTATATGGGCAACATGTGAGAAGGGAGGGAGAGTGAGAATGACTAAAGGGGAGGTGGGGCAATACTCACGGACGGGCTGGAGGGAGTCAGAGGTGTGGCGTGGATGACAGCAGAGATGTAAGTGGTGGTGTAGGCTGTGCTGAGCCTTGAAGGTGAGGACGGGAAGTTTGACAATTTTGTTTAAACCTAACATTCTAAGATGGAGAGTGGTCCAGGACATGACCTCAGCTAAGCCAATCAGGAGGCACATTTGCATATGAGATGTCATTGGTTAACATTTTCCAGAAATCTGTGACCTCTGAGGAGAAAAGCAATAGAAATGTAATGACTCATCACAAGACTCTTTTCAGCCAATCATGAGGCAGGATTTTCTTCTTGTATGTAACAATCCAGCAAGATGACAACAATGGCCAGAAAATCAGATCAGGTAAATCAGTGCAGCTCCAGTGCGCTCCAATGGAGTTATGCTGATTCACACCAGCCGAGGGCCTGGCCTTAAATGCTTCACAATATTAAACTTTATTGTAACTCAGCGTCTGTGTGTCAACGGTGGATTGAGGGACTGTCTTTTGTTGTGTGTTTGTACAGCACCTAGCACAATGGGGTCCTTGTCCGTGACCTCAGATGATACAATAATACAAACAATACATAATAATAATAATAATAAAAAAACATTATCAAAAACTGTATAATTATCTATTTTTGTAATTCAGAGGCTATGCGGGGAGAATGGCTGTAATAAAAAAAATGAATATGACAAATGAATTCTAAAGGGAAGGCACAGTTATCTACTGAAATTAAAACAAAACCACCTGAGACAGGACAAAAAGGAGTTTTTAGAAAGATGAATGACAAGAGAATTATTTTACTCACTGAAAGTTTTTCCTTTGCTTGTTTAAATACACCTGGAGCCTGGTTTGTTTCACCACCTGCCGCTGTGAGACCCAAAAAAAAAAACAAAAACAAAAAACAAAAAAAACCCTTGATGGTTAAAAATAATCATTTTGAATTGCTGGACACCTTTAGTATAATCAATTGTCTTGTAAGCACCGTGCAAAGCAATGATCTGGTGAATTATTATATGCAGTATATGCAGCTGCCTTAAGAAATAAAAGAATACATGTTACCATATTTGTGATAGTTCCAGTTAATTTATTAATTCTAGCCAGCAAATCAGAATTATGTCCTCCTCTTCCTAGTGATCTAGGATTGAGAGCCAAAATTTTTGAGGAGTGACTTGTGATTTTGAGAGCCCAAAATGAGACACCTTAAAGGGGCCTAATTTTCAGAAAATACTGAACAATAGCCCTCTGAATATCAGGCCCCTTTAAGGAATCTCAAGCAATCTCACTAGCCACCTTTCAAAATCTTGGCCAAGAACCCTAAATGAAAAGAAACTGATTCACTGCTGTGTATTCACTCCAATATACACGGCTATAACTCCACTGATGTCAATACAGTCACACTGGTATAAAAGTGGAGTAACGCAGAGGTCAATCAGACCCTGAGACTTTAGTTTAATATCTTATCATTAAAGCACCGGCACCTATCTTCTTTCAGTGTTATCCTGTGGTTCTTGTCTGATGAAACATGATTTGAGTTACATTTCAGGTGAAACTGATATAGTTTGACTTGGACTCCATCCTAGGGGAAAGTCTAGAAGTTGAGGAGCTTTTCAGAAACGTGTGTACTAAGTGTCCACCATGCTGTTATTCAGGAAGCTATGTGTTATGTGAACTCTAACTACTAGTGAAATCCTTTGCAACCGCACAGTACTGGACTCTGAGCGGGCATAGGAGGAAGGTTGGGTGGTCACAGCCGAGGTCTCTTAGCTATAATCCCGATTTTGTTCCATCTGTGAAAGCAACCCTGAAACTTTGTCCAGGGTAGCAAAGATGGGTTTCCCCTTGGCCTTGGCAGTTGTCCCAGCACAGCCCCTTGCCTGTAACTGTCGGGTGGGATGAAATCATGGTATTCTGCAACCAATCTCCATTGTGAACAAGGCTGCCTTTCCCACTCAATAATTTTGCCCTCTTAAATAATGTTCTTGTCTTGTTCTTTTTCTTTGATTTTAAATTGAGGGAGTAGGAGAGAGAGAGAGAGAGAGAGGGAAAGAGAACTGACAGTTTAGTTCTGCATTTAGAGCTGAACATGCTCAATAAAACCCTCCTGCATTACCTTTTCCCACATCTGTTACTGCTGTTTTTTGATTTTTAAATGTTTCTCCTTTTTCCTTTGGTATTTAACTCCAACTGCCTGCAGCTATGAAGTACAGAGCACAGTTTTGTGCTTCTGTGACTGACTTACCTGAAAGCATAACAACTCCTCCATCTGAGCAAAATACCTGGATCATGACGTCACACTGTCCTTTCGTGCTCTGCTACCAGTTTAATCACACAATAAACATATTTAAGACAAGGAAGACAAGCCTAATGCATGTTTGCCCCAGTTCAAAGGCTAAGCAACTGTGCTGGCCAACCCTATGACATCCAGGATGTGATGTCACAAAGGCAGCAGTGTCTTCTAACTTCAGCCAATCAAACAACACGATGAAAATTAGGATAAAGTTTAGATGATCAAATAAAACTGTCTTTTCCTTCTGCCTTCTTTCTCTTTTCATGTTCCAAGGAAGGAGCATCTTTTAATAATCATAATTACTGAGGAGACTGTGGTTGCCATTAAAATAGTCAGCTTCTGCCCATAGTTACTACACAGGGACATGCGTTATTTTCTGTCCCTTGAGATTATAGGGAAATACTGTGATATCTCATTTACTGTCTCACTGCATGGTAAATGTGGACAAAATGTTGACTTTTTAATGGAGACACCTGTGTCCCACATGGTTGCTATTTGGACAAGTTTCATTTTTAAAGTACAGAAAAGGCTAACATGTTTTTGCTGCTTGGAATGTGCTCAGAGTTATACAGAATACACTCTGGGGGCATTTGTGGCTAGGTATCCAATTCGGCTCTCACTGAAACCAAAAAGAAAGCTCACATTGATTTCAATGGGAGTAGACGCTGCCTCAAACAAATTGTTTTACATTCCTCAAAAAGGAAGAATGGAAAACAGGCTTCTTGGTTTACACCATTCAGCTAGGAAAATATACCTCCCCCTCCAGCTCCTGGATCCTGAAGATGCCCGGGGACGGGTCCGGTCCCTGTGTTGGTTAGGTCCACCTGAGGGGTGTACATATTTAATCCTGGATGTCTACACCCCAGCGGGCAATTCTATGAAATATCCTTCTATGCCCCCTTACCCTCCGTAGCAGCAATCACTGGAGTGACTGCACTGATACAGAAAAGGGGAGGAAGAAGAAATTCAGGCGTTCTGTGTGCTACCTTGTGATTTTTCAGCTGTCTTGAGGATATGCCAATGTTAGGTTGTGGGGACTTTCTGTTCATTCAGTAATTTGGTTCATGTTAGTCTGCTTTACAGATGAGCCCAAACCTCAAAGTTCAGTTCCAGACCAAAATTATCCCAAATTTCAGATCCGGGGTTTTGGTTCCACGCATTATAAAGGCCACGAAATTTAATCTGATTCAGAACTCTCTCAAAGTTTGCTGATGTTTTGGACGAGGGGTTTTTATTTGATCTCAATTCTTACTGCTTGAATAAATTTGGAGTTTGTCCTTAAATTATATTTTACACTTTGGCTACCTGTTGGGTTTGTTTTTAATTTGAGTGAATTCCTTTATATATTACAATGAGGGACAGATAGCACTACCTAGAGCCAGAATGAGTGTGTCTAAGCGATGGGCAGGCTTCCCTATGTTTTTCTACTGGCACACCTCAATTCTGACTAGAAGGCTATAGGAAGCAAAAAAATTTAGAGGTTTAGTGGTAGCCCATGGGAGGGAACAATAGCAGTATACATAAGAAAGAGATGTGGATATTTGCAAGACTGTAAATCTATAAAGCCAATGAGTTATGCCATGAAGAAACATCTCATTGTTTTAGCCTTAAGCCTCCCTAAGTTGCAATCAAATCATGCCAAATAGTTAAAAAATTCATTTATGACCAATGCAGGATATGAAACCTGGTCTGCAAAGGTGAAGGACTAAAGCATTAAACCAACTTGTGACACCTAGTCCCTAATCCCACAACACACTTTGGGTTCTTTGAAGAATCTTTGAATTATGGGTCACATCTTCTGGTCTCAATAAGATCATTAAGTGGGTTTAAGACACCTTTACTCTCCCAGTTGTGGTCTGGAGCTAGTTGGAGCACACTGGAGACTACTCTAATTTATATCTTGCTAACCAAAGTAATAAACATCGTTTTTAACTTCTGAGCCAAGAAACATAAAAACATTTCCATTTTAGAATATTACACTCTGAATGTAAACTAGTGGGGCATGGTTCTCTTCTCATTTACCCTGATGTAAATAAGGAGCAACTGCATTGCAGTACATGGAGGTGTCAAACTGTGTTATAGGAAAACCATGTCCCATCCCTTTAAAAAAAAACAGACAAGTCCAATACTTCTCTTTCCACCCTGATCTGACAGTGCCATCAAGAATAATACTGAGAGACTGGAGTGAAGATGTTCTAATTCTGGTCTTCTGAATAATGACATATCTATTTAGATATTGTGAGAACCACTGGTTGTCTTTCTCTCATCTTCCCCTATCAAATACTAAGATTTTGAAAACCATTTTTGCTTGAAATGCATTCGTCGTTTGACCCCAGATTTCTTCTCTCTCAGCGTCGTACTCTGCATTCCAGATTCTCCCTGTGGGTTTTGGCTTGAAGTCATAAACATCAGTAACAGATTTGGAAGTGCCAATGCAGATAAGTATAAATGAGCAATATACAAGTCTTCTTATTATGCATGAGAGAAAAAAGCAAAATAATGGATATGTATACCATGGTTTAAGCGTTCAACACTTTCCCACCATATAAATTCACCACAAAATAAATAAACAAATACAAATAATGAAAATAGAGATTCCTACAACACCACATTCAAGCACAATGCCAAGATACAATCACGGCACTTGGAAGGCCGAGCAATGACAAGCATACATGATCATGGCCTCTGTCAAACAAATAGAGAAATAAAGAAATAGCGAAAAAGAAGAATGATACAAAACACCGAAAAGTAATATTATTCATGAAGGTTGATATTCTCGGAGGAAAAATAAAAATAAAAAAATAGAGAAGCTGCTATAGCAATGAGATTTAAAAAAAAAGTGTCTATGTTTGCCAGCCACATTGCATAATTGAACACAGCACAGTCACCTGTCTGCTTCCGTTTAACACAGGAGAGATGAGTTGGTCTAGTATATTTGATAGCAGGTTTTAAAATGATTTTCCTGGAGGGAGAGTGGGCCTGAACTTCAGATTTTTTAGCAAGTTCAGCTTTCTTATACACTGCTATGGACAAGAAAACACAAAAGCACACAATCAGGAAAAAAGCCCAAACAGTTTTACATGATAACAAATCAACCATTGGCCAGACCCACTGCTCTGTTATTCCAGTTTGATGCTTTAGGTTGCACTGGACTGAATTGAGGAATTAATTAGTTTGCAGAGGCGAAGGAGTAGTGCATTAACCCCAGATGTGTTGCCTTGTCCGCCATATGGGCATAAACCTGGAGTAACAGAGGGGTGAGCCTAGCACCTTGTTTTGACGTAATTGTACAATGTCTGATTAAATAGTATTAGTTAGTACTAGCACAACATTCAACTTCTACAACAGAGTAACCTGGCAGTACTGTACAACAGCAAAAATATGGTAATAGTGAGTGTTAAATGAACCTTTTTTCCTTCTCACTTCATCTCTGGAGAGTGTGCTAGGTTCCTTTTTAGCTATTTTTCTTTCAGGAGTAGAAATCCTGCCTCTCCCAGTTTTAAAAGGTTTCTCTTTTTTATGCTTATCGAGAGATGATCTTCGCAATTCTCTCTCTGCTTTCTCCTCTTTAGGAACAGTCTCTAACTGTTCTGTCATGATGCTCCTATCATCATCTGTAGGGTCAGAGCAAATTATAACAACAAACAGAAAATTAGTAACAAATGTTAACAACGCTTTGGTGGAGGGGAAAGAAATTTGAAAATACAGCAGATTGTTTAAAATAAATGGCAGATTATTTTATAACATTTCTGAAATGTGCTGAAATTATTATTACTATTATTATATTATTATTATTATGCTTTTTAATCATTATGGTTTGTTGGGAAGCAAAAACATTTTTTTAAAAAGGATAATGCACACCTTGAGTATCCGCCCACAGGCTGTCCGTGTCCATGACGGAGTCATCGATAGTTGTTTCATCTTTGTAATCATCATATGTCTCTGTCTTGTAATCAGTTAGCAGGATCTCCTCCTTCTCGGGTGAAGCGGGAGCTTCCAGCGAGCCCTCTGTGGGCTCTGCCTGGATGTCAGCGGGTTCCTCCATCTCCATCTCCACTTCCTCTTCAGGCAGGGAGTCCCTTCTTTCCATTTCTTCCTGCTGTGCGGCAGCAAAGCGTACGCTGTGAGAGGCAGATTCGCCCTCATCCACAGTCATCTGCACCACCGTGATGAAGTCATCCTCAATTGTCACAACAGACTCAATAACTCCTTTCAGTTCAGGCATTTCCTCTGGGCCAGCCTCAGTCGGCGCCTCTTCTCCAGCAGGTGCCTCCAACTTTATTTCTTGGTGCATGTCTGACACGAGTTGATGCTTATCATCTTCTTCTTCTTCATCTTCTTTTTCTTCATGCTCTTTGCCTTTTACAGACTCAGGTGTTAAATCACACAGTAGCTGCTCCGTGGTTTCTGCAGGTCTCACAGCTATGTCTGGAGTCGTCTCTTTAATTTCTTCTTTAGGCTGTGGTATGCTCTCCATTTGGATGTCAGCTGTCTCTTCTTGTACAGAATCAGCTTTTGAAATGGCAAGCTCGATGGAAGGTTCTTCCACTGGCAATAGTGATGTAATCTCTTCTTCTGATACAGGTGGTTTCTGAGGTTCTATTTTGCTGTCATCAGGTTTCAAAGATTCTCCATTTAAGTCTTCTTGGATTTGATCATGTTCTCCGCTAGACTCGTAAGATTCTTCTTTATCTACTGCTTCCTGATGCACCAGATCAGGCTTAGGCACTTTCTCCTTAATTTCAGACTCAGAGAGTTTGGTGCTGTCCTTCATTTCACCAGGCTCAGTTCTTGAAAGAACATCTGCCTCCTTTGGTTCTTTGGGCAAAGAGGCCAGGTCCTTTTGCTGCTGCTGAGCTTCCTGGGCTTCAGGCTCTGCTTTTTTTACAGAATCTGTGTCCTGCTTTGAACCAGCTGCAGCAAACTCACTGATCTCAGTATGTAGCTGAGTCTGGTATTCTTGGTCAGCTCTCCTGGCAGCAACATCCATATCGTGTTTTATAGCATCGTAGTCTGGCCTGTGTGGTGTTTCTATCTCAGCTACCTTTGGTATAATGCTAAGAGAGTTTTCCTCCTTCTGAGTCAGTAAAGAAACAAGATCTTTTTCTTTTGTTACCTCTTTTTCTAATGCTTTGTCATATGCACTATCACTCTCTGGCCCGGCTACGGGAACTTTATCAACTGTACCTTCTTCTTTCATTTCTAAAATTGCATCAGGCCTTTTTTTCTCATGTTTTGTATCTTCAAGGGAATAGATTTCTTTGGAATCAACTTGTTCCTCACTTTTTTCTAGCACGGTATCTAGCTTATCAGAGCCTTTTTTCTCCTGCTCAAACTCCCTTCCCAGAACTGTTGCATCACTGGAGATGTTTGGACTCAAGTCTTTTTCGCTGCTGAATTCCTCTTTAGACTTTTCAGCTGCTGCCAACTTCACTTCTATCAAAGAGAGGTCAGCTGCCAGGCCTCTTCTCATTTTTTCATCCCTGCCTTCATAAAAGGGGCAGATTTCACCTGTTAAGCTCTCGCTGTCCTGGACTGGAGAAGGTAGTGGGACTGTGTACTTATTGAAAACGCAGTAGCCTAAGTCTTCTAGCTGACTTTCAGCTTTTAGAGTTATGTGGTTTTCATCAGTCACAGGAGGCAGGGACACACCACTGTCTTCTACAGCAGCATCGGAAGGAACCGATTTTCTTCGTGCCACTTCTGTATCAGCACTCATAGAAGCTAATCTAGACCTTGTGCCTGCTAGGTCTAACATTTCAGGCAAATCAGGGGCCATTACAGCCCCATTTTTGTAATAATCTTTAGCCAGGAAGGGCGACTCACACAAGGATTCAACCTGAATATGTTCTTCTTCCATTGCTTTTTCCTCCTCAATGTTTTCATCTTCCTCTGTGCTATCTATAGGGAAACAGGGGGCTCTCTCTAATGCCGGGGTGGTTGCTGGGAAGTAATCATCACCTTCATCCATGCTCCCACTAGTGTTTGTTAGAATATCTGAAGCGAGGGGAGAGAGATCCTGAGCACGGCCAAAGCTGAATCCTAGTGCTATAGAATCTAGACAGGACATTGGCAGGTTAATTGACATACTCCGCTGTTCTATTGCAGATCTTCCTCCAAGTCCTAAGCTCCTGCTTAGAGTCAAATCATCTTTATTTTTACTATGGATTTGTCTCTTATCCCCATACACTTTGGGATCAATAGTGAACATCCTTTCCTGTGGAGAGCTAGGTTCCTCAGACTTATCTGATGGAAAACTCTGAGCAAGAGTACTATATCCTATTTCATGAGCAGGGACACTGGATGGTTGATCTGTTTCTGGCTCTAATTTTTTGTCTTCCTTTTTAGATAGTAGAGGATCTGCATGATAAAGTTCATATGCACTTTCCTTAGTGTCACTTAGTTCATAGTAATCACTGCCTTGCTGCTGTGTGTCACTTTTTGTTGCTTCCTCTTTCAAAGCAGATGTTTCAAAATACTTTGACATTCCTGACCTATCCTCCTCTACCTGTATTTCATGTGTAGCTGAATCTGAGATATGGAATGTATCCTCCTTAGCATCCTTTTCAATAGTTCTGTCTTGATGAAGTTCATGAGTTGGGCCCTTTTCACTTGTTAACCTTGGTGCATCAGGAGCTTTTTCTGTTGTTTTAGATAACTGAACTGTATCTATAGGTTCTTTTGCTTTCTCAGGAACTGATTCATGGCTTAACTTGCCAATGGGGGTCTCTGTGCTCTGCTGCTCTTCCTTTTTGGCATCTACTACTGTTGAGACCCCAGTTCGATCAGTCTCTTCTTCTGCTTGGAGACCATCAGATGACTTTTTAGCTTCACTAACAACTGCTTTGTCTGGAACAACTATTTTATCTTCCTGCTCCACATAAAGTTTACTATCATCTAATACTTTGGAGGGCTGCCAATCCAGGAAGCCGTATCCTTCCTCCTCATCACTCTCATCCCTTGTCATGTCCTTTTCTTCCCCCCAGGTAGAAACTTTCTGGATGGGTCTTTCCTCTGTAGTTGGTTTGGGGGCATCTGCAGCCATTGCAGAGACATCTCCTGCCTCTGGCTTTTCTGTTTTGTCTTTGTGGATCTTTTCATCTTTCGAAAGATCTTTGGCAATCTCTTTGTCAGGGAACTCTTGTTTTGTTTTGCAACTGTCTTCAGGTTGTGATTTCTGTGAGACAGTCATTGGAGTTTCTGAAAGAGGTTCACTTTTGGCAGCACCAGACACGTCAATTCTAGATTCTGAAGGCAAAAGAGCAAGATTACTCTTCTGGGTTTCTGTAAAGTCATCTTTATATGTCAGGGGTATAGCCTGGTTAGATGGTATCTGGGTATCTGTACTCCTTCCATCTGTTTTACTCTCCTTCGGCAGGTCAGCTGACAAGTCCCTGCATCCTTGAGATACAAGAGACTCTGCAGTTGAATCAGCACCTGGGTCTGCAAAACTTACTTCCCCTTTCTTTTGCAGATCTGCATCCAAAGTCTGTCCCGACACAGTTGGATGCATTTTCTCTTCTTCTTTGCCCCGTGACTCCTTTTTATCTAGAGTCTCAGTTTTTGCTGGCTGTGGAACTAAGGCATCATGTTTAGATTGCTCATCAGTCTTACTGTCTTTCTCTGACTCACGATCCTTTGTGTCTAATGGCTCCGCTGTGAAAGGGCCTGTGCCCTCCTGGTCACGGATTTCCATCTTCGAGGCTGTAAGTAAATCTGAAGTAGTTTGGTTGGGTTTTATGACAAATTATTTAAAGTACTTATAGACAGTCATTTAGCTTACAACAATATCTTGGTATGATTAATGGAAGGGAGAGGGGAAATTATGCAACCATGCAGCAAGGCTATTCAGTTAGAAATTTGTTTTAAAGTGTTGTACTCTCCTCTCCTCTTGATGCACAAGGTTTTATAAGTGCATTAATGATAATATGAGTTACACATGTAAAGCTGTCTCCACTGAAATGAGAAATATACCCTTTTGTTTCATGTGATTTCTTCATACTCATTACTTGTAACAGTAAAATCATAAATATCCCTCAATTAATATTTGAATGCTTTGCTAGACTCTGAAGTCAATACAAATTTTGCTTTGGTAAATGTCTGCAAGATTTGGCCAAGTAACAGTATCCTTGTATATGTGCTTGAAATACACAATATATGCAATTACGTAATACTACATCTCTTTTTAAATCACAAGTTTTTGTGTGTCTAGCTTAATCAAAGGAAATATTAAAATACACAGTACATGGGCTAACTGTAGAATGAGGGAGCTCATTAACTAATATCACTGATCTTTTACATTTGCTTTTTAGCAAAAAAGCAGAAGGCAGGTTATTTTCATGAAACTGACCTCATGCAACGTGCACGGGATGTGGACCTGTTTGTATTTCCAAAGTTGAGAGGCCTAGCTTTCAGAAATGCAGAGCACTCACAGCTCCAAATGAAGTCAGTGGAAACCATGGGTGAAAAATGAGGCCCTGGATTATTTTAAAATTAATCAAAATGTTACTCTGACACCTGTTACTGCTATATTCTTAGCATAGTTAATATTCTTTGGTAATATTTTAATATATAATTTATAGATGATTTATTAGTAGTTAATAGATTGATCTTTCCCTAGTGCATGATAAGACAAGAATAATGAAATCTATGCCAGAATGTGTTATAACATTGTCTAGTCAGTTTTTCTTTAAAAAAAATAAATGATGCATGTTTCCAAAACATGCTGCAACACATCTCGGGCAAACAAATTTGGATCTCCGTACTCACAGAAGTTCTCCAGTTGAAGCCAATGAAATCGTTTGTGTGAGTATGGCACACAGGTCTGGGCCCGTTATCATTTTTAGAGCAATTTGAATTAATCTGTTCATCATTATTTAAAATATTTAGATAGGCTATCTTCAGCTTAAAATATTAACCACCCTTCTAACATTGTAAGTAGCAAATAAAAACATCCACAACTGTTATACTTCTTCCACCTCTCTATTTTTAAAGTTTTTGTGGTGTTTTGGTGATGGTGGTGATTATTCACAACTTATATAATATGCAAAAGCAATGCCCATTAGCTGATTTCACTGTGGTGTCACTGAGACAAATTAGTTACATGCTATCTTTCTTCACCTATAGTTCTGTACCTCTGCTGGTAATGCTGATGCACATACCACATGATATTAGCAGATACAATACCAAAGGAATTTCATCTTGCTCAGCTGGGCCAAATAAAATTACTAGGACAGGCTTTTTTGTAAACACAAGCCTCCAACACCCAAAATCTCTTAATTAGGAAGTGTATGGCTCATCATTACCTCTATGTTTCCTTCTGAAACAACTGATGAGAAATACTGTCAAAAGGACAAACCCTGAAGACTTACTTAATTCTTACTCAAGCAAAATTATTGATTTCAATTTGATCAAAACTATCAAAACTATTGATAGTTTTGCCTAAGTGAGCACCTTAGGATTTTACCCTAAGTGCCCAATTCCACACTTCATTACGAAGGCAAAAATCCCATTGGGATCATGGGAATTGTGCCTGAGCAGGGACTTCAGGTTGGGCCATAAACTCATAATAAGCTAAAATAAATGAAAACTCAAAGTTTTGGCAATGGTCGAGGAGGGAAGGGAAGGGGGGAGCTGATTGCAATGAATGGTGAGGATATGAAATAAGAAGCAATAGCCTTACGGAAACGAAACCAGAATGCACTGAAGCATAAATAAATAATAACACTGCACACAGCAAGCAAAAATATTTCTATAGTTTAAGCCTCTTTATGTCATAGTCTAAGTCAATAAGTCTCCTTTTTTTTTTAAAAGAAAAGCAGATGAATCTCTGCACCAAAAAGAAAAAAAGTATATACATAGATTAGCAATGTGACTGGCAAACACATCTGAGATGGGGAAAAAAAGGCTGATGTGGCAGTATCAGCTTAGCAGCAAAGCACATTGTATCATAGCAAAGTAAAAAAAATCAGGAATCAGCTGCAGTGGTGGGAAACCATTCGTTATACAGCATCTATGCAAATTGGGTTACCCGATACATACTCGTCAAGCATAATAACAAGAACAATAATAATAATAAACGAGAAGAGGAGGAAATGGAGCAGCCTTGGAAAGCACTGGAGAAAGCAGGAGAAGAACTCGTTTGCAGCAAACACATGCACTCCTAAGGAGGACACACCTTCCTCAGCCAAGGAAGGTATATTTGCTTTCAGGGGCACCTCCTCGACAACTGTTACGCTTTTCCCGCTGGGTGCCACACTTAGCACACTGTCTTCACGATACACTTTGGCCTCCGAACCAGAATCCAGCTGGCCCTCTGCCTGCTCTGAAGGCTCAGCAGACCCATTGTCTTTCCCCAGCTCCTTTCCAGGAAGAACTGCTGGTTTCGCTTCCTCAGCCATTGGACTCTCTACTGTTTCTTCTTCTTGGGGGATGGAAAAGGAGGTGACATCAACACCAGCAGACAACACAAAGTACAAAGTTCAGTAGGACTGTTCTTACAGTAACACTTTCAGCTCTAAAGGTGGGCTAGATGTCCAACCTCAAAGCCGTGTCAGCTTCCATCCCATTTCAAGTGTGTGTGTGGGGGGGGGGGGGGGGTGCGAGTGAGTTTGCCTTAGGACGAAAAAGGATGTATTATTTTCTGGTTGCCAAATTGCGCTTTGCATGGCAACATGTAACAGTGTTGTTTCCCTCCTTGAGAAGCATGTTTAGGTTGTAAAATGAGAGCTGAAAGTGTTTTACAGACCTGCCCTTCCAACACGGAGATGACTGTAGATCAAACATCCTGAATATTCATTGGAAATGGAGATGGTGCTCGGTGGTAGATGGCTGTGAAAAGTCTGATGCATCCATGTACTCACAAAGTGCACTGAAATTTTTTATAAATGTGCTGTTTTCTCCAAAGCAGGAAGTAACTCCTCTCCCTACCTTGAGGAAATTGACTGCCCCCCTTACTGCCTAGTAAGTTAACCTACTACAAGGCACCTAGTTTGGCGTGGTGCTAATATAATTATATTAATATTAAGCATATTTTTGGTTCTTCTCTTGCCACAGCAGAAGAACACTGAAGAGTGATTAATGAACTGTTCATTATGGGCCGGACTCTGGCACTCATACTCAGGTTGAATAGCACCTTACCCCATGAGTAAAGATACGATTTTGTCATGGAAATCACGGATTCCGTGACTTTAACAGATCGCTGTAAATTCCGCCTTAAGCTTCAGTCCCCCCGCTCAGGCAGTCAGCCCCCCGCAGCTGTGGGGCAACGGCTGTCAGCCTCAGGTGTTGGGGCCCAGGGCTTCTGTGATTTATTGTTTATTGCCCACATCTTGCCTGTGAATTTTAATAAAAATCTCTTACCCATGAGTATTCCCAATGATAACAACTGGGATTATTCAGGCCTCAGTTCAGCAAGGTACTTAAGCACATGCTTAGTAGTCCCATTGAAGTCAACAGGAATACTTGTGTGCCTCAAAGTTAGGCCCATGCTTAAGTCCCTCACTGAGTCAGGTTGGAGTAAGGTGTTATTGAACCTGAATAACAGTGGTTGTATCTGGCTCTGTTTTATCGATGCTAAACCTCTCTGTAAAGAAGTGATTTTTCTCCTGAGGCTGGTTTGGTAAAAAGAACTAAATTTATGCCTTTATAAATCACAAGAAGGAACGTGTTCATTAACCTGTACTGAGAAAATAGTTATCCAAAGTACAGCATTATTAATTAAACTATAAAAATGAAATTAGTTATGTAATTCATCTCAAATTAAGAAAAGCCAGAAGATTTGGAATTAGAACTGTAACGGTGTCTTTCACCAGATCATGGTGCCTAGGTGTTGCAGGGATCTTTAAGCATAAGTGGGTTTAATCGAACATAAAAATGTAATACACTGGCACAATAAGGGCAAGTTAATGGCGGTGTTCAACTACAGAATCTTTATTTCCTTGCTTAAATACTTTACTTAACTTTTTTTGGCTTCATTTTCTTTTGGATTTATATCTCTTTTTAAAATTTTAGATCAAAAATGCAATTCTCTACCCCATTTTTATGCTGGTGTAACTTCACTGCTATCACACAAATAACACGGCTGCAGAACAGGTGGAACAAAGTGAACAATTTGGTCCAAAGAAAATATAATTAGCTAAATGTTGTAAATAAATGTCAAAATTATAGATCATAATGGCTCTTTCAGTATTATTACAGCCCATCATACCAATATTATTTTGAGTATACAGTTAAAAAAGAAACACTACCAAAACAAAAGTTACATGACATATCTTCTCATATGTTTTTACATTGTGGAAAAAAACCCTACTCCACCAAGACCATAGATTTTTGCTTTACTGCTGAGCAAAATTTTACCACTGGGTTACAATCTCCAAAACATGAGGTTTATAATGGAAACATTTATACCGTCTTAATTATAGCTGCACTTCTGGGTGTGTCTATACCTGCAGAAAAAAAAGATTTTCTACTTGAATGGACAAGCATCTGTATCTTCAGATGTCAATAACTACACACACAAAAGTCAAATACTGGTTCCACCTAAAAATATATTGAAACACTTGACTTTTCTAATAATTTCACCCCTTTCTAGGAAATAGATTTCCCTATCTGATCCAATACTATTATAATATTCAATACACTCTTCAATATCAAGCTAAATTCTCTGGTGTGGTAAGCTCGTCACTGAAATGATCTCATCGGTTCTTCTCATATGT